CTGTTCTCTTATTTGATTCCACCTCCCCTCCAAGTCCCCAATTCCCAAACTCCTTCTTGGTGATTAGGTGTAGAATTCAAACCCAGCCATTAACAAAATTCCCTAGAGTCTGAAGTCTCAGGTTTTTTTTTTTTCCTGGAAATACTTTAAAATTTCTTTTTACTTTCTTGAAACTAAACTCAGCTTTTCCCAAAGATTGCTGATTTTCCCGCAGGCTCTGACGTGGTGGTTGCTCTCTCTCCAGTATCACCAACTACTGGTGGTGGTAGCTTGCTCCTGGAACAAACTACCAATCCTGGCTTCTGGGAAAATGCCCTCTGTTATTGCTTCCCACAGTGCGTCAGAACTGAACCTTCAAGCCAGGAGAATGTGCGGTAAAAGATAGAGTGTGAGTGTGTGACTTCCAGGAGTGGGTCAAAACAGGCAATGTAGCTTTCACCTTGATGTTCTTCCTTCTGAGGGAAGGCACTCCTTGCCAGGAGGAGCCCAGCAACCTCTTGGAGAGGCCAATATGGGAAGGAATTGAGGCCCCAAATGACACCCACAGCAGGCTGTCAGCCATGAGATACTCCTTGGAAGTGGCACCTCCAAACTCAGTCAGGCCTTTTGATGATTGGAGCCCCACATGACTACTGAAGACAACCTCATGAGAGACCAGGAGTGGAACAGGCAGATGTATTGAACTACACTGTTGAGGGGAGCAGTGGGTGGGCCAGGAGAAGTTTGCCACTCCATGTGGGTCACCTCTCTGGCCAGGAATCAAACTCGTGCTGCAGTGGCTGTGGATCACTTCATAGTGCTGCACTTTAACCCATTGTACCACCAGAGAGGGCCCATCTTAGGCACGTATATGTGATGTCTTTTGCTATAGCAAAAAGGCTTATAAACAAATGAAATCTATCTCTGGCAGTTCTAGTGGTTGGAACCTCTTCCTTGTCCATAGCCTGTGCCCTTAGTTGGTGGAAGGGTGACTGATCTCTTTCATAAGAACACAAATTCCTATTCTGAGGGCCCCATCCTGTGTCAAGTACTTCACAAATCTCCAATCATGGTCACCTTTGGGGGTTGGGCCTTGCCATATGAAAGCAGCATGTGTGTGTGTGGGGGGGTGCATTTAGACAGCATTTGGTGATTTCAGTATCCTCTAAGATTTCATCTTAAATGCTTGGGCTCTCATTTTGTTGACCTCTCCCTGAGTACCATACCTACAACTCTGGTGAGCTGCTGCCCTTATCATCTCTATCATTAGCAACCCTTTACCCCGTAACAGGTTTGTAAACTTTTTTTTCTTTCTTTTTAAAAAAGACCTAATTATGTATTTATGCACAGAAGAACTGGGGTGTAGGGCAGAGGTACTGGGGTTAAGAGGATTCACCAGAGATAAAGTGGGGAGCAAAACAAGGAGACTGCCTGAAATACTCTGCTGAGGGGAACAGCGGGTGAGACAGGAGAGATCTGCTGTGCCATGTGGGTCACCTCTCTGACTGAGAATTGAACTCAGGCCCCATTGGGGCTAACATTATAGACTGAGAATTAACCCCTAGCCCACTAGGGAGGTCCCAGATTTGCATACTTTTCACCCTACATTTTTCATTGTCCTCCACCTTCTTGCAAATTTACTTTGTTTCTGCCCTTGCTTGGATTCCAGGACAATCATCAGTGTCACATACTTGCATATAGATTGTTCTCCTTTGCTCCTCTCTTGCTTCACTAAATTAACCAGAAAAAAATCAACTCTAAATCCATTTCTGCTCATTCTGTGTTTGTACTTGTGCAAGTGCAGAACACACACAGACCAGTGCAACTGGCTTCCTTTTGTTTATTTTTCTGACTATAATAGTTTTTAGTTACAAAAATAGAACAAAGGCTGACATCTTTTACTAGATTCCCCAAACATTGCCATATTTGCTTTGTTATATTATTCTCTTTCTGTGTATAACTTTAAAAAATATAATAGTTTATTTTTACATCATTTTGTGCATTTTTCCATCTCAGCTGTAATCCCCATGGGCTTCCCACCAACAAGTCACCTGTGTGCCATCACCATAACCCAGTGCATTTCCCTCCCCCCACTATTTCTGTGTATAACTTTTTAAAAAATAATTTGGATGTGAGTTAAACCTGAATAAATCATTGAAACCTAAATAATATAAATCAATATATTTCACAAAATAAGGATATTCTCATACATGAACATAGCATAGTAATCAAAACAGGAAATCTGAAACAGTTTGAATAAATGCTATCAGCTAGTCTGCAGACTTTATTCAGTTTTCCAGTTGTCGCAGTAATTTCTTCTCATTTTTTATATATTTTTTTTCTAGTTAAGGTGCAAATGCAAGATGACACATCAAACTCCCAGAACTTTGAGCTACAGAGTCCCACATTTGGAGTAAGAATACCCTTACACCCTATATCTCTTAGGGCTTCCCTTCTTCCCTTGAGTCTTTATGCATGAGGGAACATTGCCTTTCAGTGAAGCCATGACTTTCTTATTCAAAACCTTCCTGCTATTTCTCCGCTTTGTTTGTCTTCACAGTTATTATCACCATTTGATATTATATAATTTTACCTATCATCTGCCTTCTGATTTTGGAATATAGGCTTGCTACCAATTCAATTTTCATTTATTTATTTAAGTTTCCCCAGCTCTCAGAAGTAATTGGCCCATAAGAGGGTCTCAATGTATGTTTATTGTACTAACGGTTATAATATGCTTTAAATATTTTTATTTCAATACAGTGGTATTTAGATACCAATATTAAGACATATCACAATACATGAATATAGTACACTTTTGTGGCTGATAAAGCAGAAATAAATTAGCATGCATTCAAGTTTAATCCAGTAATAAATTTAATTCTCATATTTTATATAGATGCTTATCTTCATTTCTATAATTTAAATGCAGGAAATTTAAGTTATTAATTCTGTTAAAACTAAGTATTATCACTTTTAAAGACAGGCCCTTCAGGATCTAAGACATATAATAACTTTGTAAGTTTTCACTGAGCAAATATATTATAATTTACTTAATACTTTTTGCATTTTATTTAATTAATTAATTATTTTTAAAAAAGATTTATTTTATTTGTACATACAGAACTGGGATACAGGCCAGAGGCTCAGGGGTGGCGAGAGGGTTCACCAGAGACAGAGCGGGGAGCAGAACAGGCAGATCTACGAAGCACACTGCTGAGGGGAGCAGCGGGCAGCAGCAGGCGGGTCAGGAGAGGTCTGCCTGGGGTCACCTCCGGAGCAGGCAGGGATCGAACTCATGCGGAAGCAGCTTTAGATTCTTAGTGCTGTGCTTTAACCCGCTGCGCCACCAGGGAGGGCCTAATTTATTTATTTTTAAAGATTTATTTATTCATACAGAACTGGGGTACAGGCCAGAGATGCGGAGGGTGATAGGATTCACCAGAGATAGAATGGGGAGCAAAACAGACAGATCGACGAAGTACACTGCTGAGAGGAGCAGCGGGCGTGCCATGTGGTCACTTCGGGGGCATGCGGGGATCGAACTCTTGCAGATCGAACTCATGCGGATCAACCTCATGCAGAAGTGGCTTTAGCTTCTTAGTGCAGTGCTTTAACCTGCTGCGCTACCAGGGAGGGCCCTATTTTATTTTATTTTTAAAGATTTATTCATTTATGCATATTGAATTGGGGTACAGACCAGAGATGCAGGGGCAGTGAGAGGATTCACCAGAGATAAAGCAGGGAGCAGAATAGGCAGATCACAGAAGTACACTGCTGAGGGGAGTAGGGGGTGAGACAGAGTGGTCTGCTGCACCATCTGGGTCACCTCCCTAGCTGAGGATCAAACTTGTGCTGAAGCTGTGGCCAGTGTTGCACTTTAACCCTTGCACCACCAGAGAGATCCCTCATTTTACCTTTTTGATGTTTGACATTAAATATGTCCCGAGAATGTGCTAGTGAATAAAAGATTGTCTCTTTAGTGTTGCTCTCCAGAAAAGGTTTTAAGTACCAATTTATGCCATCACACAGTTGAGATATAATAATAGTTACTCAAAATATTTAATTCTTTGGCTACCACGTATTGAAAAGAGCAAATATTGGGCCCTCGCTGGTGGTGCAGCAGGTTAAAGCACAGCACTAAGAAGCTAAAGCCACGTCAGCATGCGCTCAATTCCGGTACCCGAGGTGACCCATATGGCACAGCAAACCTCTCCTGACCCTCCCCCAGCTTCCCTCAGCAGTGTACCTCCTCCTTTCCCAAAAGGGCCAACCTTTTGTTTTGTCGAGCCAATGGTATGGTTATTCATATCCTTTGTTCATTTTCTTTATGAAATCTCCCACTTTTAAAATTACTGTTGATAGAAAAATCATTGAAGCACAAATCTAATAAGGACATCCTTCTAACATAACCACAGAGTATGAATTATTCATAAAGAGCAACAAATTAATCCACAAGTCATTAGTAACTCCATAATATCATCTCTAATATACTTTTCATGATCAAGTTTCCCAATTGTTCTAGAATCTTTTCTTATAGCTGTTTTCTTACGAACTAGATCTGGAACATCAACTTTTTGTCGGTAACTTCAAGTCCTTATTTGAAGTCTACAGTTTATTTCACTTTTTGGCACACTGTAGTAGAGTACGTATTGTAGGGGGGGTTGCTTTGAGAGGAGTGACATGCGCTCGAGTCTTTTCATGGGAGGCCCAAGTGTTTCAAGCTGGGAAGCGGGTAAGGACACCGGCTATTGCCTATTGCGGACCCCCTGTAAAGACTGGCTTCCAGACTAAAAAACTGTCGTTAGTCAAAGGCTGGCGTCCTCAATTGCCGCCAGAGGGCGCAAGGCGCCCCAGCAGTCGCTAAGGTGGCCCTCG